AGGGACATGAAGAAATTTATGAGTGATCATGTGAAAAATTTCTTTTTCTGCTGTTTATGTCACCTAGATTGCAGAATTTTTCTAAAATACTAGATAGTTTGACATTTTTTGAAACTATATTTGCAAATGTTTTCTAACAAATCGTGCATAATATCACAATAAAGATTATCATTAACATGAGATGATTAAATCTTATTAAAGCAACACTTTTCCTTTATACCATTGAGGGAACAATTATGTAAAGAAACATCATAACCGTAACATTAATTAGTTCTAAATAATTGAACAGATTCAAAAAAAATACTGTCGGAGTCTTTACGTTTCATTTTGCATATTTTGCATATGTATTTCGCAGTAAAACTTTCCACATAACCTAATACTCCAATTAAACCAAGATTGTCACCGATAGTTTGAACAAGGACAACATATATTTTCTAACTTTGTCATTTTTTCGATGTATATAGAAAATGCATCTTTATTTGAATATTTAATGCAATCAGAAGAATATATAATTGCATTTAACAAAATATTCTCAAGTTTTTAGTTATGAAGCCGTTTTAAACATTTAAGAATTGTACACAAAGATCCAATTTTGTGAACAGTGTATTGAACAGTGAACCCAATGGATTAGCAGTTTCTAAATAATCAATAAAACGAAAAAATGGAATTATTAAAGTATTTTGGGATTGAACATGTTGACGACGTAACTGATGATTTTGTCACAACTTAACATGTTTTAAAGTCTGAAACTAAACCATTAGTAGATGGTTTTATATTACTTCTTGTTTCATCAAGTACATATTGCCCTGATGCGATACAAGTTGAGCAAACTATTCATTTAGCTGTTCTTTGAGTGCTTATAGAATTGAGTATGATTTTGGTTTTATATAATACCCTTTTTTTTCAAAACAACTTGTTTGTTTATGCAAACTTTCTAAAGCTTGAAAATGTTTTTTGAGGCGTGAGATATTTTCAAAGAATTTATAATATTCGTCTCTTTGGAGACCATGCTTTTCAAAAATTACTTGGGTCTTGTTACTAATTCCTGTTTAATTGATTACACAAAGTCTGAACATGCATCTATAATTTTTAATGTAGTGGTTAGGGGCAGATTATAATAACTTTTTAGTTTAGAAATAAAATAAACCGAATCTTTAAAAATACCATCGATTTCATCAAATCTAATACCAAAATTTGATATATGATTTTTACAAACAGTTTCGGTATCGTGAACAGCTAAAGACAAGTTATTCGAAGAGAAACATCGTTGTGTAGTATCTGATTCTTTTAAAGTAGGTCTTTGAAAATCTTCTTGATGAGATTTTTCAATATGTTTTGCAAGACTTTGGAAAGAATTATATTCCATCGGACAACCATCCTGACTGCAAACTAATCTTTCGCCATAACTATGTTTGTTGTAAAAAACTTTTAAATTACATTTATAAGAGATGCTGGAGCTTGCAGTATATTCACAATAAGCGCAGTTAATCATTATTATAGTGACAATAATAAATTTTTCTTTTCTGTTAAAACTACGATGCCTGACAATAAATGAAGAAAAGAATGGCGAAAAATTCTCGGTATTTATACTATTATTTGCAATCCCGTTGGCGCATTTGGTGAAAATAACTAATACAATTTTTTAAATTTAACCAAATAAATTTGTTATACTTAACGTGAAGACAAAAAGTAAGAACGTTATCAAACGAAATAATTTGGTTAAAATAACAAAAGCGATTTGGTAAAGTTCATAAAAGATTTGGTATATTTTACCAAACAGGTTTGTAGCTTTTACAAAATCTACTTAACTAAACAAATTTTGTTAAATTGACAAAACAAATTTTTACAGTGTACTTCACCTATACGAAAATGTTTCATTGAAAACAATTGGTATAAAAACTAGGGATGCACCGAACGTTCGGCAAAACCGAATGTTCGGCTGTTTTGCCGAACGTTCGGTTCGGCCGAACCTTGACAAATGTTCGGCCGAACATTTGCTAAAAATGCTAATTTGGAAATTAATATCATCAAATCATCATAACTCAGCCTAAATAGCAACAGTACCAATAGATATGGCTTTTTATTGAAAACCCGATTCTTATCTACAACGCATAGTAGGTAAGAATATGTTTTTCAATAGAACACATGAGTACGTTAGATTTACATCAAGTTTTTTGAATTTAGAATAAATTTAATTTGATTGCATGTATTACTTAAAACCGAATGTATTACGTAAAACTAGTTTACATCATTTAGAAAAAATAGTACTAGTATAAGTGTAAAATGAAAAATCCTTTCAATTAAGCAATATTTTAGTTAATTTTATCCTTTTATATACAATAATAATAATAATTAAACTTAACTTAAGTTATAAAATTCATGCAAGAAGCAAATTTTTTATTTTGGAAAAATCGCAAAAATGTAATATAAAATAAACTTTATAAAGAAAGTTGCTCGTAATTTGGCTACTCAACTATTTAAACTGAGAAAATTATTTGAAAGGAATAAACTTAGGGAAAAATGTTATTGTGGTGATCAAAAACATAAAAATGCTCCAATTTATTATGTAGTTATTACTATATAACTATATAACATATACTATTATGTTATTATTATATAACTAAACATGCAATAGTATTAATACCAGACAAATCAACAATTTTAAACTTTCACCTAACAAAATAATAGAGTATTAAAAATATAAAACATTAAAAACATGAGTGAAAATCAATTTTCATTTGTCCTCAAGTTATAATGAATAAACATTAATTTTTCGCCACTTTTTGGTGATAGTCTGTTTCTATTGGGTTCGTAAATGATGCCACCTGTACTAAAAAGTCTTTCACTTTCAACAGAAGATGGTGGTGCTGAAGGAAACTTTTAGGTAATTTTCTTTAAATTTTTAAAAGAGTTTCCACAACTTTTCCACCACAAGAGAAAACTTTCTTTTTCCTTGACAAGAGGTAGCTTTAAATACTCTTCAATCTCCTTGTGTATCATTTGTATATTAGAATTTAATCTTTTTAACCTTTTGCTATTTTCAGTATTTACAAAATTGGAATCACATTCATTTATAGTTATCAGTTTAGAAACTTTCTGAAAACATTCATTGAATTTTGGATAAGCTGGTTTTGCAATTACTTCATTTGTGTTATGTACTGAAGGTTCGTCAAAATCAGAATCAGAGGATTCAAGTTCTAAAATACTTTGTTGCATTTCTTGCATCTGTTCATTTATCCAATTTTTTATTTTATCCTTATCTTCCTTTTGGTATGTCAATTTATATCTAGGGTCACATAAAGTGGAAAGACTTAAATATTTATCATGTTAATATGGACCCAATTTTTTGTCTACTGACCCACTTAAATGTTTAACTAAGTATTTATTGTTAAAAAAGCCTCACATACTAATGCTTGATTGAAAAATTCTTTCAGAGCCATAATTGAAGGAATAACATCTGACAAATATGATTCACGTTTACTGAAATATGTTATAACATATAAGCTAAGCATTTAGTATAGTTTACAAATATAAAAGTTAGCTAAATAGCTTAACTTTAAGCCTTAACATTAACAATTAACAACTATTAAAATAAATACTTAACGTAAAATCTTTTTTTAAGAAGTTTTTATTTATAAATTACAATATAATTTTATTATATTATAATTGTTAATTATTTATATTTATCATTAATAAGTTATACTCATTATTAATAAGTCATACTCGTAAAATTAATTTTTCATTTTTCAAATAAAAATATCTTAAAATTTTTACTTCTTCACACTACATTGTATTGTAGTGACTACAAAGAATCATCTAATAATAAATTTACTTTTGATAGTTATTTAAAGTTTCTTCAAATATTTTCAAAATAAATCTAATGTTTTAAAAAACACATTTAATTTTTAAAAATATAGTTTTCACTTCAAGTTCAAAATGTTTTAGACATAAACCAATGTTTATATTTAAAAAAAGCAAAAGTTCGGTATTCGGTTCGGTGTTCGGCCGAACTTTCATGGCCGAACGTTCGGATTCGGTGTTCGGCCAAAAACCGGGTTCGGTGCATCCCTAATATATATATATATATATATATATATATATATATATATATATATATATATATATATATATATATATATATATATATGTATATATATATATATATATATATATATATATATATATATATAAGTTAAACTTTGATTTTTATTGATCACAGAGTAAACCCACATCATGTGGAAAACAGTGCTTTTAATTTTAAAAAATGAGGGGCGTTTAGCCTACCCTAATATATATACATATATATATATATTTATATATATGTATATACATATATATAAATATGAAATATGTAAGTAGTTATAAGTGTTTTGAGTTTGTTCTAGAATTTAAATTTTTTAACTCTTTAAACACAGCAACTAAAATAAAGTCGAGAAGATCTGTTCTCATGTTTTCATTTTGAGAAGGAAACTATACTGAAGAGATGCATCCCGAGCATCTAAGTCTAGGTATTTTTAGATCAAATAAACGGTAATAATAAGTTAGTATATAATTTTAGGTTTTATTTTTTAGCAAAGGCATAATCTTTGTTAAAATCAAAGATAATAGATCTCTCCATATTTACATTTATATCTAAAATACTTGTTGTAACATATATGTTTATACCTACAAAACTTTATTCTATGTTTATTCAAGACATTATTTAAGAGTTAACATTATTTAAGAATTAACCTTCATTTCAATTTTTATGAGCAAAATTTTTTTTTTTAATTTCTTTTTATATTTAGTTGTAATGGAATATATATTTACAGAAAAAGGTGGTAACTTTCAACAAAAAGTTCCGAAAAATATTTAATGGTCTTGACCTCAAAAAAAATTTATAAGCAAATTCTAATAACTTAATTTTTTATTATTTAAATATTATTACATTAAACACAATTAAGTAAGAGAAATGTTTTGAATGAATTAATTAAAATGGGAGAACTTTCATAAAACAGAACTTAATATAAAGTACCTCGTTTTGATGCAAATTAACATAAAATTCTGCTTCTCTCAACTATTTTTTATATATAATAAAGTATGATTTTACTATTGTATAAAAAATATATTTTTACTTTTACAAGGATATTTTATTATTAGTTTTTCCAAACTCAACATCTTTTATCTTTTTATAAGTAATGTCTTATGTTTTTACGATTTTTTTACTGGCTAGTCCAAGTTCAACATCACGTATTCTTTCAGCAAAACTCAAACTTAGCACAGTTTCACCAGAGTTCTTTTCAACGGGAGAAACTTGTACAACCATTAAAGTCTTAGAATCTCCACCTGTAATAAATAAATATAGTAGTAAATAAAAGTAACAACCTAACATATTTTAACTACGTTCAAACCTCAAAAAAAAATTTAAACAATAAAATAGATGAAGTAAGTTACAATTAAAAACAAAAATTATTGGAGCTTTAAATATTTGGTATTACATGGTTTATTCGTATGCGGTAGTGGTGTAGTGGAAGAGCGTTCGTTTTATAAGCAAGAAGTTTCAAGTTCGATCCCCATCACGTCCTTGGTAGTATACATATATATATATATATAACTTAACCCGCGCTTAACTTAATTCTTTCCGAGGCGGCTTTGCTCGTCAGCAATTTTGTACGTGTTTCAGAGTTAAGGAGATGAGAGAAGATTGTAACCACAAAAACTAGCCTCCTCTTTTGTATGTGTATTGTATTGAAATGGCCCTCTCGACCTTGGGAGGTAAAAAACATTAAAAATTATCTATCATATATATATAATATAATAGCACTGTACACTTCAAAAGTGATGAGTTCAAACTACATAAAGTTTGTAACTGTAACAGCGTAACACACAAACATAATAAAAGTTAGTATTTAAAATATTCACCCAATATGTTTTTGAATTGTATGAAACCACGGTAATCTATACTGCAGGCCTTGCTAACGTGCAAACCGTATATCTGACCGGGGGCCTATTTTAAAGTTTGCTTAACTTTAGTCGCCATTTTAGTGATATTAAAATATGGGTGAAAAATTTTGCACTACAAACTATTTATCTGCAAAAAAAGAAATCTATTAATTCAAAGCTCTCAGTATATCGATTTCCTAAAAATGAATAAGAAAAACAAATATGGATTAAAGTAATTCCAAATACAAACTTAAAAGTAACTAACGACACTTTAGTTTATGAGTTGCATTGGCCGATAAAATTTGAAACACAAATAGTTAGAGGAAAATATCGTCTTAAATATCCACCATCTGTTTGGCCCGGCCCTTTCTTATGAAATTCCCGCCATTACGTTCAAAAACTCGTGCTTCTTCGTGTTTTCGAAATTTTGCTCAAGATGTACTATCAACTTTTTTAGAAAAAGATAGAGAAACTTTTGCTAAAAAAATTCTTTTAAATAATGAAGGAGATTTAGGTGTTCCATGAGTATGCATGAGATTCAGCAGTTCCATGTTTTTTGACCAAGATTAGTGTGGATTTTCATTTTGAAACTTATCACTATGATATCAAAAATCAACACATGGTCTATAATAGAAGAAATTTTACGTTATTTGAAGTATTTAATTCCTTGAAGAAAAGAAATTCTAATTTAGGAACATTTATCTTCTATGGGTACAGTGTGTTGGTAGTAAGATTTATTGCATGATAAGGTTTATGTTAAAAAACGTTTTTATACTATGGTGGAAAATTATTCGGAAAAGCAATCGATGACTTCACTTCTCATAAAAAAAACTTTATACTAATCTCATGATTAGATTAGTATATAGTTTTAATTAGGTCCAAATGATTAATTACTTTAATTTTTTAATTTAATTAGTGGTTAATTCACTGGACATCATTGGTTACATCATTTCCAAAATAATACCTATGAGTAAATTAAACTCAAAATAAAAAGATACCTATAAGTAAATTAAACAATTTGTTAAAAAAAATTTATTTTAACAAATTGGCATTACTATCCAATCAATAAAGGAGTCTTTGGATCAATAAGCTATAATATGCAATGGAAATAAAATTTAATCATGGAAATATAATTAATCAGGCATTTTTTAAAATCTTTGAAAGATCAGCTTGAGATAAACCCTGGTTGACTAATGATAGTATTTTCTTAATCTTTGATTACGTCCATTTCCTTAAAAACATTAGAAATAATGGCTCACTCAAAAAACTAGGCAATATATTTTTTATGATAAAGGAATATGTAAAGTGGGATCATCTTTACTTTACGAAGTTGAATCCAAAAAATTAGTTAAATTATCCAACGTAAATGAAGTTTCAATATTTCTAAAACCAATTAAGAGGCAGTCCGTTTCTACCTGCTTAAGAGAATTTTGTGACAAAACTTAGTATGCTTTAATTGACCATCTAGGATTGCAACATATCAAAGAAAGACAAAATACAGCAGATTTTATTAACATTGTTGTGTCATGGTGGAAAGTTCAGTCATGGTGGAAAGTTCAGTCATGGTGGAAAGTTCAGTCATGGTGGAAAGTTCAGTCATGGTGGAAAGTTCAGTCATGGTGGAAAGTTCAGTCATGGTGGAAAGTTCAGTCATGGTGGAAAGTTCACAATGTTAAGGGAACAGGTGCTGATATTAGATTCAATGATAAATTTTAAGCAGCAATTATAAAATATTTTAAATTTTAGAAATATGGCTTTAAAGATGGCTGGTAAAAGGGTAGCAAGGTAAAAGGGAGAGACAACTTACTTGTGACTGTGCACAGTCAGCAAGTAAGTTGTCTCTCAATGCAATGGTGTTGTTAAACTATTTAAATCATTATTGGATAGCTTACACCATATGTCATTCTTAGTGAGTTTAATTTAGCGAATTTAAAAGAATTTAGCAAATTGGAAAAGAAATAAGCGAATTGTGCCAAGGTTCAGGAGGTACATATTTCATAACAAGTACAAAAAGTGATTGAAATGCTTTTGCTATAATTTGATAACCCAGCTGTTGAGATAAGTCTTGATACAATCCATTCTTTTCTAAACTGTGGTTTTCTATTAGATGAGCCCTCTGCTATATTTAACTATCTACCAGATCTTGAATCTTTTATTTCTTTTTATACAAATATGGCTCTTACATATATCGGGGTATTTAACTCGTAGGGATAAAGGACTATCAGAAAATGAATTGCTAGATAAAACCACTTTTTACCACCAAAAGTTTGGACAATACATAGACTCAATTGATCATGGTGGGTTTAATACTTCCACATATAATAGCTATCAAATTATATTTAATAGATGTCACATATAAAGGATTATTTTCAATGCAATTAAGGATAAAGTATACAGTGTCATTAGGCAATATTCTAATAATGATTTAAGAGTTTTGCAACTTTGAGATGCAAAAACACCATGGAAATATTCCATCAAACATTTTTTTTCAAATAAAGAATCAGCTCAAAAAACATTGAAATTGTCATAAATTCTTCAACAACGTTCTAAAACAAAATTATACATATAAATATAAATATAAATAAATATATATATATATATATATATATATATATATATATATATATATATATATATATATATACATATATAATATAGTATATATATAATATAGTATATATATATAATATAATATAAAATAAATATATATATTTATATATATATTTTTATTTAAAGTTGTTATTTAAAGTTTTTTTAACGATTATATACATATTTATACAGTTTATATAGTTTTAAGTTAAGAAATGTTTTGTTTTAATTACAGTTTGTAATTATAAAGTGAACTTTTGCTGTTTATAAAATTGGCCCCCAGTCAGATACACCGTTTGCATGTTGGCAAGGCCTGAAGTATAGATTGCCATGGTTGATACTGAATGCGTCTATTTTTTCTTGTTTAAGATTTTTCCTGACGTTTACCACTCTATTATTGAAAAAATTATGTTGTTTTATATTTCCTGTATATCGCTTTCTTAGTTTACTATTGTGGCCTCTAATTTTATATCCGTTATTTAGCATTTCAAGTTTTGTCTGAAAAGTTATGATATCATACTCTTTCAAATATTTGAACATTTGTATCATATCACCCCTTTTTCTTCTGTTATCCAACGATAGTAAAGCCAACTTTTTTTAACCTTTTTTTATAACTGTATCCTTTTAAACTTTTAATTCTAGAAACTTTTTGTTGGACAATGTTCTAACAAAAGAAAATTGAAACAATATATCAACACTATCAATCCAAAAAGATGAAATGAACCTTCAAAATATGACTTGTCAAAAAAATCTGCAGCCACAGCTTCAGCAAAACCGAAAATGGACAATTCAGGAATTTGGGGAAATCTGATAAAGTTAAAGAAACAGAAGCATCGAAAAAATTGGAAAAAACCAGCAAAAGAGTTTGAAACCTGGATTTTAAAAGCATATGCATCGTATCATATTATAAATTTATAAAAAAAAAAACTGGCTTAGCATTGGGTTTTCGTAGCATTGCTAAGGTTTTACAAACAAAAAATATACTTAAAGGTAATAGTTGTAAACAAAATGTATAATTTGTACTTATGTAAGTAAAAACATAATTGCAAAGGTAAATGCAATTATAACTTTATGGTTTTATCATGATTTAAGATTGCAAGTGTTCATCACCTTCAGCAAAAAAATAATGTAAAAAAAGGAATAAATTCTTTTTTCCACTGCACATTGATTAAATTTGTGGTAAGTGAAAAATTTTGGTAGTGGTGTAGTGGTAGAGCACTAGCCTCATAAGCAAGAAGTTCTGAGTTCAATCCCCACCATGTCCCTGGTAGTACGGCGTTCAACTTGTTTCACCACGCAGCAGCCTTGTTTGTCAAGGTTTATGTTTCGGATTTATAGAGTTGAGAGAAAGGGTTGTAACCAAAAAAGTAGCCTCCTCAACTGTAGTGGCCTTCCCAGCCTTGGGGAGGTGAATAAAAATGCAAAAAAAAAAAGATAAAACCTCTGCATACTAAAAACTGAAGGACTGAAAATAGGTGAATATAAAAGAAATAAAAAACTTTAGAGAAACTGAATGTTCATGAAGTATACCAACAGATAGGGGTGAAAGTTGACACCTTTTCTTATGAAAAGCAAATACAGAAATATTTGGTTATAGGTATGACCACTCTAATAAATGAAAAAACAGTTTATCATTTATAGTATATCCATAAATACTAAAGCATTATAGCCAATAAACTATTAGATTTCATTTGAACTGCAATCTTTAGCAAAAAGATTAAAACTTTTTAGATCTTTTAATATTGTTGCATATAACTTCTTTAACCAAACCATTAAAAAATCTTTGATTAAGAAACTCTTTTGTATGAAATTGGAAAGGATTATAACAGGACAATCATTTTGTATTTTCTTGACTGGCCTTCTGTTTATTCATAAAAGTGTCCATATAACAACTTCACAAAGGCTATTTCTAAATGACATAAAATAATAAAGCATATATTTTTTTTTGACTCCTGTTTGTTACACGAATATTACAACAAACAAATGAATCTTTTTTGTAAAACTCTACAGATTTTCTACCTAGCACATAACTAGTCATAAAGTTACTGCCATCATCATTAAATCAGAAGCATTTTATTTTATAAAATTTCAATATTCTATTGTGAAATCACTAGAGAAGTATAAAATCACACAAAGAACAGGTAGGCACTATTCATATTTAAAATTGTATGCAAGAAATTTCTTATTTCAAAATAATTTATTTTTAATTATTGATTTTTTTATCCACCAAAATATGAAAACTACAACTTACATAACAACAAGTTTAAATGCTTGGTCTCATTTAAAAGAAGTTTAAACAATCACACACATTTAAAGCACCGGAACTTACTTTTTTTGAAAATTAATACATTTTATTCAACAATTATGCATTTTTTTGAGCATGAGGTTTGTAATCATTTAGCAATACAAAATTATAGCAAAAGAAGAAAGAAAAGAAAAATAGAAACAACAGAAAGAAAACTATTTCGATTTAAAAAAACAAAGTGCTAAAAAAAAGTAATACATTCATTTAAGTGTTCCACAATAAAATTCAAAAAATTAAAAACATTTTATTTTGAGTTCTTCAATATAAAAAATATATCAACAGAATGGCAATATATTTATATTACCATTCTTACAAATAAAAATAAAAAGCAAAAACTAAAGAAAAAAATTAAAAATAAAAATAAATACCTAAAGAATCTTGAAGAAGATATGTTAGTTTGCTGTTTCTGTAAGGAATATGTGTACATTTATTTTTCAAGGAGTGTATTACGTTGCTGAGGGAAGATAGAGAGGCATTTATGCTTTGCGTCTCTTTCATTCTAATGCCTTCAGAACCTGATTTAGATAGTCTTTCACTACCAGCTAGATCAACTAAGTTAAGTTTGCCTCAAAAAATAATAACAGTTTATACTATTGAAATTGTGGTTTGTGTTTATTTAAATATTAAAAAACACATCCTTATTGTACTTATATAAAAATGAAAGAATTGTTTTACAGAAATATTTATAAACAAAGATTACAAAATACCTGAAACTTTGATATTTGCATTCTTATTTGTCCCGGAAACATTGATCACAAGAACAGAATGGGATCGACTTGAATGAGCATTCATATCAGTAGCAGCAGTAATTCGATTTCTTTTGCCTAAGTTGAACAACTATAACATAAAGTTGAACAACTAAAAAATAAGGTTGAACAACAAAAAATAAAGTTAAACAACTAAAAAATAAGGTTGAACAATTTAGAACTTTTAAATTTGTAAAAGTATATTAAATATTAAAAAAAGAAATACAGTAATGAAAAGTCTAATCATTAGTCCAACATTATACATGAAAATTAACTGCTAAATGTGAAAAGGCAAGGTACTAATTCTCTAAACCTAGTGTATATAAATGTGAAAAGGCATCAATTCTTCTATACCTAGTGTATATAAATGTGAAAAGGCATCAATTCTCTATACCTATTGCTTATAAATATGAAAAGGCATCAATTCTCTATACCTAGTGTAATACCACATATAGGAAGATATAGGAAGAATATCACAATGGTTTTGCAGTACTAACCAAAAACCAGATTAGGAAGAACATAAAAAAATGAAAATTAAAAACAAAATTAGGAAACTGCATTAAACTGGACAAAACCTTCATTAAGTATTTATTTAGTGTAATAAAAAAAGGACTTGAAACCAAAGATGGTTTTGTTTTTAAGAAACAATTAGATATAATTATTGATTCAGATATGATAACAACTATGTGCCACTAAACCCACATAATAAAGCAACAGTTACCCAAAGTCGATATCTAAATAACAAACTAAAAACAAAACACATTTATATAAAAAGTGACAATTTCATCGCAAATATTATTTTGTATATTTTTGATTTCATAACTTAGTATATCGAAACATATAAAATAACAATTTAAAAAATATCTATTATAAAAAAGAAAGTGGCTAGGAAAGAAAGTTAAATTTTATTCTATAAAGGTTGCCTCTCTTTGTATATATGAAAAAATCAAAATAAAGAATAAGTTATAAAAACAAAAAATTTAAAAAAAACTTGTAAGATGTAATGTAATGTAAATAGAAAAAATCAAAAAAAAATTGAGAAACTTATAAGTTAAATAAGTATGAAAAAATCAAAAAACTAGCAAGTATGATAAATTATGAACCAAAAAATTTGTAAGTTATATGCATTAAAAAAATCAAAAAATTAGTAAGTTATATATATGAAAAAATTAAAAAGCTTAGAAGTTAAATGTATAAAAAATAGAAAAAACTTGAAAATAAAAAAAAAATTGTAATTTATATATATGAACAAATTTACAACTTAACTAAAAGTATGAATCATAAAATTTGTAAGTTTAATGTAAAAAAAAAAGAAAAGAACTTGTATGTTATTATATGAAAAAATAAAAAAAGTTAAAGATTCGTATTTAATTGACTTGCTTAACGAAGAAAAAGTTTTAAATTGTCAAAAAGGTATTTATTATAAAAATATCATGATGTTAATGACTTTTTCTGCTATTTTTTGTTTATAACTTGGTTATAATTCAACTTTTAAGTTTATTTGAAAGTTCAAAAGATCTTACTTATTGTAAACTGAAAGTAATATTCTAACTTTATCAAAAAAAAAAGCAACAATTTTAAATAAAAATTGAGTCAGTAAAAAGAAATTGAAATATAGAATAATGTAATACTTTTATGAAACAGTTAATGTAAAACCTTTTTCATGTTGCCTTTTTTAATACTACTCATAATGCTTTTTCCAACAACAAAATTTTTAAATTTAATAATTATTATAATAGTAAGTGATATTGTAGAGATTGAAAAGCAATAACTTTGCTACAGTAGTCCTGTACATAAATACTACAGTAGTCCTGTACATAAATACTACAGTAGTCCATTACATAAATGCTACAGTAGTCCTGTACATAAATACTACAGTAGTCCTGTACATAAATACTACAGTAGTCCTGTACATACATTCTACAGTAGTCCTGTACATATATACAGCAGTAGTCCTGTACATAAATACTACAGTTGTCCTGTACGTAAATACTACAGTAGTCCAGTACATAAAAACTACAGTAGTCCTGTACATAAATACTACAGTAGTCCAATACATAAATACTACAGTAGTCCTGAACATAAACACTACAGTACTCCAGTACATAAATACTACAGTAGTCCTGTACATAAATACTACAGTAGTCCTGTACATAAATACTACAGTAGTCCTGTACATAAATACTACAGTAGTCCTGTACATAAATACTACAGTAGTCCTGTACATAAATACTACAGTAGTCCATTACATAAATGCTACAGTAGTCCTGTACATAAATACTACAGTAGTCCTGTACATAAATACTACAGTAGTCCAGTACATAAATACTACAGTAGTCCAGTACATAAATACTACAGTAGTCCAATACATAAATACTACAGTAGTCCTGTACATAAATACTACAGTAGTCCAGTACATAAATACTACAGTAGTCCTGTACATAAATACTACAGTAGTCCTGTACATAAATACTACAGTAGTCCAGTACATAAATACTACAGTAGTCCTGTACATAAATACTACAGTAGTCCTGTACATACATTCTACAGTAGTCCTGTACATATATACAACAGTAGTCCTGTACATAAATACTACAGTAGTCCTGTACATAAATACTACAGCAGTCTTGTACGTAAATACTACAGTAGTCCTGTACATAAATACTACAGAAGTCCAGTACCTAAATATTACAGTAGTCCTGTACATAAATACTACAGTAGTCCAGTACATATATACTACAGTAGTCCTGTACATAAATACTACAGTAGTCCAGTACATAAAAACTAAAGTAGTCCAGTACATAAATACTACAGTAGTCCTGAACATAAATACTACAGTAGTCCTGTACATAAATACTACAGTAGTCCAGTACCTAAATACTACAGTAGTCCAGTACTTAAATACTATAGTAGTCCTGTACATAAATACAACAGTAGTCCTGTACATATATACTACAGTAGTCCAGTACATAAAAACTACAGTAGTCCTGTACATAAATACTACAGTAGTCCAGTACATTAAAACTAAAGTAGACAGTACATAAATACTACAGTAGTCCTGTATATAAATACTACAGTAGTTCTGTACATAGATACTACAGTAGTCCTGTACATAAATACTACAGTAGTCCTGTACATAAATACTACAGTAGTCCTGTACATAAATACTACAGTAGTCCTATACATACATTCTACAGTAGTCCTGTACATATATACAGCAGTAGTCCTGTACATAAATACTACAGTTGTCCTGTACGTAAATACTACAGTAGTCCAGTACATAAAAACTACAGTAGTCCTGTATATAAATACTACAGTAGTCCAGTACATAAATACTACAGTAGTCCTGAACATAAACACTACAGTACTCCAGTACATAAATACTACAGTAGTCCTGTACATAAATACTACAGTAGTCCTGTACATAAATACTACAGTAGTCCATTACATAAATACTACAGTAGTCCTGTACATAAATACTACAGTAGTCCTGTACATAAATACTACAGTAGTCCAGTACATAAATACTACAGTAGTCCAGTACATAAATACTACAGTAGTCCAATACATAAATACTACAGTAGTCCTGTACATAAATACTACAGTAGTCCAGTACATAAATACTACAGTAGTCCTGTACATAAATACTACAGTAGTCCTGTACATAAATACTACAGTAGTCCAGTACATAAACACTACAGTAGTCCTGTACATAAATACTACAGTAGTCCTGTACATACATTCTACAGTAGTCCTGTACATATATACAACAGTAGTCCTGTACATAAATACTACAGTAGTCCTGTACATAAATACTACAGCAGTCTTGTACGTAAATACTACAGTAGTCCTGTACATAAATACTACAGAAGTCCAGTACCTAAATATTACAGTAGTCCTGTACATAAATACTACAGTAATCCAGTACATATATACTACAGTAGTCCTGTACATAAATACTACAGTAGTCCAGTACATAAAAACTAAAGTAGTCCAGTACATAAATACTACAGTAGTCCTGAACATAAATACTCCAGTACTCCAGTACATAAATACTTCAGTAGTCCTGCACATAAATACTACAGTAGTCCTGTACATAAATACTACAGTAGTCCTGTACATAAATACCACAGTAGTCCTGTACATAAATACTACAGCAGTCCTTTACGTAAATACTGCAGTAGTCCTGTACATTAATACTACAGTAGTCCAGTACCTAAATACTACAGTAGTCCAGTACTTAAATACTATAGTAGTCCTGTACATAAATACAACAGTAGTCCTGTACATATATACTACAGTAGTCCAGTACATAAATACTACAGTAGTCCTGTACATAAATACTACAGTAGTCCAGTACATAAATACTAAAGTAGTCCTGTACATATATACTACAGTAGTCCAGTACATAAAAACTACAGTAGTCCTGTACATAGATACTACAGTAGTCCTGTACATAAATACTACAGTAGTCCTGTACATAAATACTACAGTAGTCCTGTACATAAATACTACAGTAGTCCTGTACATAAATACTACAGTAGTCCTGCACATAAATACTGCAGTAGTCCTGTACATAAATACTACAGTAGTCCTGTACATAGATACTACAGTAGTCCTGTACATAAATACTACAGTAGTCCTGTACATAAATACTACAGTAGTCCTGTACATAAATACTACAGTAGTCCTGTACATAAATACTACAGTAGTCCTGCACATAAATACTGCAGTAGTCCTGTACATAAATACTACAGTAGTCCTGTACATAAATGCTACAGTAGTCCTGTACATAAATACTACAGTAGTCCTGTACATAAATACTACAGTAGTCCAGTACATAAAAACTACAGTAGTCCAGTACATAAATACTACAGTAGTCCTGTACATAAATACTACAGTATTCCAGTATATAAATACTACAGTAGTCCTGTACATAAATACTACAGTAGTCCTGTACATAAATACTACAGTAGTCAAGTACATAAATACTACAGTAGTCCTGTACATAAATACTACAGTAGTCCTGTACATACATTCTACAGTAGTCCTGTACATATATACAACAGTAGTCCTGTACATAAATACTAC